GGTCTTCCTCAGCAATAATGACTCCTACTCCTTCTTCCACCGGCTCCAGCGGGGACGGCACCTCCTGGTGACGGGCTTGACGGGAACCAACGTCATGGACATCCAGGTTGTCTTAATTCGAGCCAAGGAGAGATCCTGAGAGCTCCCTCCGCACCTATCTAGGACCAAGGGCAAATGAGGACATTAACACTGGAGACAAATATAAACTGCTTAAATTAGGGCTAGCTGTCGAGGTCGCTAAAATCTTTGAGAGAAAGACCCCACTAATTAGACACACGAGAAGACGTCCCCAGCAAAAGCATCAGGAAGAGTCAGACACTTAATTGGGATCAGAAGGGCAAGCAGAGCACCACATTAGGGACACGGGGGCTGCATCAACACCTCTCTGCAGGAGCCAGCACGGCTGCACCAGCTTGGGCTCGGGTTCGAAGCCGCGGGGCAAGCAAGGCCGCAGCGGCGGCTGTGCCTGCAGCCCCAAGGGGCTCTGGCAGGTTTTAGGGGTTGTGTTACGGCGACCAGAGGCCCCCGAAGCAGCTGCAAGGGCTGGGCTGGCAGGTGTGTGGCCAGAGCACCGTGTCCCGAGTGCCCCCAACGCCGAGGGACGCGCGTCCTCCCGCTGCTCGCGTGTGCCGGCTTCTCCGGGGAAAGGCCTGGGTTATGAGCGCCACGTACCTGCGCCGGGGCTTGTTTCCCAAACGGGCTTCTCCCAAATGATTAAAGAGTCGTGGGGAGAGGAGGCTGATGAAAGGTCTCCTGAAAGGATGGGGCCCTTTGAAGCGCGCTTCACATCTGCGCTTGCTCGGCCGCCGCACACGGGTTTGTTCTTCGCCCTTCTTTCCTAATGAGGAGATAACGGACGAAGATGTTGACCAAGGACATTCGCGTTACGGGACTGCTCCTCCGATGCTGCTACCTGCGTAGGGCCAAGCTTCATTCCTGCCCAGTTGCTTTGAGGAGCCGAAACCACCTTCCCAAAGCGATGAGGGCGCCGGAGGCAGCTCCGAGAGGGACGCAGTCCTTGCTCCGCGTGAGGAGCTTTGGTGGGCATCACTTACCTGCCAGGGGCCGTTTGCTCTGGGTAGGGGCAGCCCCTCCAACACGCAGTGAAGCCCCTGGGGACATCCCTGCTCCAGGCTTGCAGCCACCTTTGGAAAAACCATCTGGAAAACGAAGGGATAAAGGCCCTCTCCAGGGCAGGCAGCGCGGTGGCCTCGGGGAAGCCCAGGTGACACAGGGGACGGGGTGGCCGGGCGCTCTTGGTGGCCAAACAGCATGAACGGCCGGAGAAGCCACCAGGGTATTAACAGGGCGAGCTATGGGCGGTAAATTACAAACCTTGGCTGCTGCCCTTGGCTCTGCTCTTTCCTCTTAGGAAGCATTAATATCCCGGCTCCCAGCGTGCCCATTAGCACTTCATTAAGGATCCAATAATGATAAACGCAGACAGACTTTATTTTGCGCCGGGCCTGATTAATGGCTAATATTTCCCCAGGTGTAATGGGGCCCTTGCCTTATGAAGTGGTGGGAAGGGCTCTGCTGGATGATTCCCACCGTTTTCGCTACCGGGACCCACTGAACGGAGCCCGCGGAGCAGTGGAGGCTCCCGAGGCCCGCGGGGAGC